AGAATTTTAACATTTATTTATTTTTTCTTAGTTCTTGGCGGACACAACATCTTTGTTGGTATGTGGTGCTGCTGAGGATCGAACCCGGGCCGCACGCATGCTAGGCGAGCGCGCTACCGCTTGAGCCACATCCCCAGCCCCTCAAATTCTTATTGTTAATGTGTAACAATCTCAGTCCTTGCCCCTAAACTCAGCTCCAGGCATTACTTTCAATGGCTTGGCTAAATATCAGCCTGATTAAGTTCTTAGTCAAAGGACATCTGCTTCCCCCACCCTGTGTAAGAGTATTGTAGTTTTTAAATGTGTCCACTGATTCATGGAAAAAGGTGGCACCTATTTCCCCTCCTTTAGCATCAGCTCATCTTAGTCACTCAATTCCAACCAGTAAAGTGCAGCAGAACTGACAAGTCACTTCCCAGCTGAGGACAAAAAAATCCCAGCCCCCCATACCTGCCTCTCTCAGGTCACTCACCCTGGGGAAACCCAGCTTTCCTCTCACCAGGATGCTCAAGCAGGTGGAGACCTGGGGCCCAGAGGAACTTCTCCCGGACTTTCCTCTTTCCATTGCTAACTATTTCCACCAAACTCCACAGCTCTAGGTCAAGGAGCAAAATGTGAAAGGAGGTGAGGAGGTGGTGCTGGGCGACAGCCAAGGTGCAGAAATGACACGAGACAATGAAGTGCAGCAGCTCATGGGCTCCAGAGTCAGAGAAGCCTGAGTTGGACCCTAGTTCGGCCTCTCACCACCAGCCTCTTTAGGCTTCTAAGGCTTCGGTTTGCTCATCTGTAAAATGGGGCCTGATCTCCTTGGAGAAGTTGTAAGGAGTGAGCATGCTGAAGGACACACAGGCTGGCTGGTATTTATAGTGGGAAACAGTAATTCCATGGTCCATTTTCAGAATGCAATATTTAGCCTTAAATGTAAAATTATTTGAGATTTAAGAAAAGCAGCTTGGGGCTGGAGATGTGGCTCAAGTGGTAGTGTGCTCGCCTTGCATGCGTGCGACCCGCATTCGATCCTCAGCACCACATACAAAGACCTTGTGTCTGCCGAAAACTAAAAAATAAATATTAAAAAAAAAAAAAAAAAACAGCTAGAGGGGAGAACAAAATGGACCGTTAAAAGCAGTTAACACTGGAGTGGGACAAATTCACAGCCCCTTGACAATTAGGAGGTGACCAACAGAGATAAACTGCAAGATGCACTCAGCCCAGAGGACCTTCCTGCCACAGCAGAAAAAAGAGAGGTGGGGTCAACTAAAGGTACATGTCAAAAAGCCCTGGGTTCAAACCCCAGTACCACCAAAGGAAAAAAAAAAAAGAATATATAAAAAGTACATGTCATAAACCCAACTGGAGACAGTAGGTGTCACCCAGAGGTGACATTCAGGAAGATTGCACACCCACAGTACTCAGCCAATGAGGAACTAGGGGAGGGATCTTGTGCAGTAAGGAATAAAATGCTGTTTGTCACTGCTCTGTGCCTGCTCACCTAGACTACCCAACTTTGCAAGACCATCATTAAAAGCCTTGCTTTCTTGGTACCTTTTACCTCTCAGGTCATTCTTTTGGGTTTGGACAAATGAGCATGTTTCTCACATTTACTTATTTATTCATATTTTGAAACAAAGTCTAGCTAAATTGCTGAGGCTGGCCTGGAATTTATGATCCTCCTGCTTCAGCCTCCCAAATTGCTGGTATTACAGGCATGGGCCACTATGCCCAGAACTGGGTGTTAAGGCCTGACCCAAGGGAAGTAACCATTTAATAAAAGTAATTTTTGAGGGGCTGGGGATGTGGCTCAAGCGGTAGCGCGCTCGCCTGGCATGCGTGTGGCCGGGGTTCGATCCTCAGCACCATATACAAACAAAGATGTTGTGTCTGCCGATAACTAAAAAATAAATATTAAAAAAAAATTATCTCTCTCTCCCCCTCTCTCACTCTCTCTTAAAAAAAAAAAAATAATAATAATTTTTTTGGAGGGGGGAGTACCGGGGATTGAATTCAGGAGTACTCAATCACTGAGCCACATCCCCAGCCCTATTTTGTATTTTATTTAAAAACAGGGTCTCAATGAGTTGCTTAGCATCTTGCTTTTGCTGAGGCTGGCTTTGAAGTCTCAATCCTAGTGCCTCAGCCTCTTGAGCCACTAGGATTACAGGCATGCGCAACTGTGTCAGACTGGAAGTAATTATTACTGGTGATGATCATTGGCTGGACCAATATTATTATTGACTAGTTGTGTGTCAGGCTAGGTCATTACATAAATTATCATGTGTGGCTGGTAATGTGTAGCTCAGTGGTAGAATACTTCCCTAGCATGCATGAAGCCCCAGGTTCAATCCCCAGTGTCAAACAAACAAACAAAAATAACCACAAACACAACAGGCAAAACAAAACATAAATGATGTCAATTTTAATACTTAACAAGGTTGATATATTATAGTGGTTGAATAATGTCCTCCTGAAAGGTATGTCCAAATCATAACCCCAGGTACCTGTGAATGGGACCTTATTTGGAAATAGTCTTTGCAGATATAATTAAAGATCACAGATTTGGGGATGAGATCAGGACTGGTGTCTTTTTTATTTTTTTTGGTACTGGATATTAAACCCAGGGGTGATTTACCATGCCTAGCCATTTTTTGACTCTAGAATAGTGCAACACTTCATTCCATAAGGTAGAATAAGTATTCCAATGAGTCAAGGAGAAGAGGTTAGTTTTATACACAGAAAAGGCCTGAACACATCAGAAACATGAAATGAAGAGCATACTTATCACTTCAAAGTTGCTCTCCTCACAAGGCAGGGACACGGAGACAGAACAATAGGAAAATAACGAATTGGTTGACATCAGGTGATTTCAGGTTAGCTTTTCTGTGTAGGGATTAAGGCAGAGGGAACTTCGCTATCATGCTAATTGAAACTGGCTTGGGGTGGAGGATGTAGCTCTGCGGTGCCTAAACACCAGGCCCTGGGTTCCATCCCAGCACTACACAGAAACAGCAGCAACAACAAAAACAAAAACAGACCTGTCTGGGAACTTTGGCTGTCATTTCTCTAATCTTGATTCCGTGGAGGTCAGATAAACCGCTCAGTTTCAGCTAGAAGTACAACTTTAGTGAGAGGGACTCCATTTTGGTTTCTCGCTCCTCTGTTGAGGCCTGGTGCAAGAGGAAACAATGACCTCCCCTCAGTTTTACTTAATAGTTGGAAGAATTCTCCCCTAGAGCCTTTGAGAGAAAGTGGCACTGCTGATAGTTCCATTCTGTACCTTGGGCCATGAGAGGGGGTGGGCCTGGTGACATGTGCCTGTAATCCCAGGGGCTTGGGAGGCTGAGGCAGAAGGATCACAAGTTTGAGGCCAGCCTTGTTAATTTAGCAAGACCTTGTCTTAAAATACAAAATGAAAAGGGCCAGAAGTGTAGATCAGAGGTAGAGTACCCCTGCATTCAATCCCCAGCACCACCACCCCCAAACAATGAGAGGATAAATTACTAGTATTTTATTATTTTTGAAGACAGGACTTGATAAATTTCCCAGACTAGCCTTGACCTCATGATCTTTTGGCTTTACCCTCTTAATTGACTGGGATTACAGGGGTGCACCACCATACCCAGCTTTCCTTGTAATGTTTTAAATTACCAAGTTTGTGATTATTTGTTAGTTGTTAGGGGGGAAAAAATACACATATATTTACCCCCACCTTACAGATGAGAAAATGAAGTCTCAGAAAGATGAACAAATTTGCTCAACTCTATTTTCAAGCAAAGAACCAATTCACACTAGTTACACATGAAGCTACTAAGTGCCCACCAGAGAAATGATCAGGAGCCAAAACAAGAAAATTAGGACAAATATGTAGCTCCAAGTCTCTACTAGAGAAAGGAAAATAAGTTCACATCATTTCACTTAGTGTGCAACTTTGCACAAATACCAGAGCTCATTTAATTAGGTCAAGAGAAACCCTCTTGGAAGGAGAAAGCCAGCAAAATAGAACTCTGGGTAGCATGTAAAATAGTTCAGTTCAACTCTGCAGAAGAGACCAGCTTAGACTAGCCCCAAAGACCAATGACTTAGACTCCTGGGAGACTTTGAGCAGATTAAATTAATAGAGCAATTAGGGATAGGAAGCCTGCTTAAAATCTAAGCCTCTTAAAATCTGGGAATCGAAGGGGAAAATTTGGTTTGTTGGAAGGAAAGGAATCCTACACTTAATTTCTCTTTGTTTGGTTTATCAAGATGCTGAAATGGCAAGTCTGAAGAGCAAGAAATAATCACAGGTTTCTTCAGAGATGCAAACAGCAGGAAATCATTAATTTTTAAAGTCCACCCATTTCCCAAGGAGCCAGAGTCCTGCCTGGTTTGGGGATTTAATCAACTCACAGAGCACAAGGAACATGTTTCTCTTAGCCTACTCAGTGTTACCCAGTGAAATTTCTCTTGCCTTTCTTTTTTTTTTTTTT